AAATTACTTTCTGCATATTATTTAAAAAATAAGCCTTTATAATCATAAGGTACCTATCAATATTTTCTTATAATATGATCAAATCAATGACTTTCAGTCCCATATATGCCAATTCCTCCATCCCTTACATTTGTTCTATGCTTACAAATTAATTCTTCCAGCATGCCATAGGTCTATCCTTTTGAAAAAGACAGCAAAGTAGATATGATCACAAAGCCTGCCTTATTTTTTTGTCCAAAAGAATAATAGTTCCTATTTATAAAATAATATAAACTCTAATGAACATTTTAGATTTTATTCTTTTCCATTTTAAAGATTCAGAAAGAACATCTTTCTTACTTTCTGTTCAGGATGCAGTTGCTAATTCTATTTAGAAAAAAAACCCCTTGTACTGTAATGAAATTTCCTCTTTAAAAACAACATGTTTTCATATTATTTTGCTGGTTTACTTTTAAAAACTTTAAAAATTAGATCTGGCTGTAATCCCAAGCTTTCAACAAAATAAGTAAATGACAATATTATATCAGAATCTACTTAATCTATTTCTAATATGTACGTGTGTCTAATTATCAATAAGAAATTAGGACTAGGAACTCTGCATATTTTTATAATAATAATAATGTCACTGTTTTATCTTTTTCTAATCGCAAGAGATTACTTGAGCCCAGCATCAGGTTTTCAGAGCTTACAGTTTCGATTATTAGAGAATAAGATTGGTGTCCCCCAAAGTCTGAGAGTCCCTTATAACAGAAGACATTATCGTGATAACTTCAAGGGACAAGATTATGAACTCTTGCTTAAATCAGAACAGGAATCAACTCTTCTGCAACTAGTAGAGGTAACAGTTTCTTTGTTGTGTTTTTTAATTCCCTTTTCAATATAAGAAATATTATAAGAATGTAAGAATATGATTTCCATTTCAATATAAGAAACATCATCTGTCTTGGACGTGATTTAAGACTCAGTTCTGTATTGCTTCCCATGCAGATTTACAATTGATTTCAATGATAAATTCTTTTCACTGAGAGGATAACAGAATTGTCAATTTCTTAAACAATCTGGCTGTTTAGATTTTCTTACAGTTTTATATTAAGTTTTTTAAGTAATCCAGATTGTTTTAATTACTGACCCTTAATAATTTCTTATTACCTGAAAAATTTAATTGGATATTAAACACGTAAGTTTCCCTGTGGAATTCTGAATATTCTGCCTATCTGCTGACTATTTATGTCATAAATACACTTGTTCCATTTCACATGGACATAGACTACTTCTAGAATGAGAAAACTGTGAAATATTTCTTCCATGAACAACTAATGTCCTCACTGCTGTGTATCCAAGTGTAAGGGAAAAGGATAAGTGCCAACCCAACACTAGGGGAAAAAAGGGGATGTTGGCAGAATATGTCATTGACATTTATTGTGAGGTGAGTTTGATTTTTCACTCTAAAAAGTTAAGAAGGAAACTATTATTCAGGAGAATAAGTGTATGTTCATGGTCTCTTATGCACGCTTGTACACTCTCTTATACACATACATATACCACTTTTATACAACTTTCCATGGATTAATATGACACACACATTCACAGATAAACAGTTTCCAAGGCATATATCATTTTCTATCAATACTGGGCACATCTACACCAAATGTTGTAATGCGCAGTAGCCTATTCTACTGCACATGAGCACATCACATAAAAAACATGCTAATGAGCAGTAAAATTAGTCTACTGTGCATTAAGCATCACAAAAAAAAATTGCCTTTGCTATTGCACATTAGCATGGGCTAATGTGCCTTTATGTAGTACCTCATATTAGAGGTACTAAACTTAATGCATAGAAGCAAATTACATTAATAAATGTGTAGATGTGTCCAGAATACTGATTCTTTTTATGTAATAATCAAACTATTTTAGATGAAAATGGAAGCAAATGGTGTCCTCTTCAAAGGGAATATAACCAAAGATTTCTGAAGTTTTATTGTATAATTTCCTTTTCAATGATCAAAAGAAATCAAAGACTTAAAACAGAGAGAACTTGCCAATTTATTATTTTGATCAAGGATTGCTATATCTATTTTTATTTCCTAAATTAATGCATGCATGTTTTGCCAGTTAATGTATATTTGAATACAATAAAATAATCAGTCACCCCTGTTTAAGGCTCTTCATATTCAGCACACTTTTGTGACAAGCTAATGCTTATATCATTTCTGTGAGATAGGGTAGTACTTTACCTTCTTTATGAAAGGCAGAAGTGACAGCAAAAGAAGTTGAGGTGACTTAACCAGGTCTTTAGAAGGAGCCTGTGCTAGGGAAGGTACTACAACTGGCGAGTCTTTGTCTCCAACTCTGTGGCTATTTAAGAATAATTCTGAATCTGTTAGATTGTCTGCTGGGCATAATTATACCAGTTGAAATCCCAGTGTAGACCCTAATGTTTCAGTAATGAATACTCACACCAGGAATTCTACTGATATAAACACTGCAGCATAAATATATTATGCTACTTAATTATGCCAAAATGTATTAAATATCACACATTAACATAAAACTTTGTTTTAATAAAGTCATGGCTGGAAAGAACACCAGGACTTGAGCAAGAAGAATTTGATTTCTGGGGAAAATTTCAAAAGAATGTTTTAGAAGGTCTAGAAGAAGAATTTGTAATGATCCAGGTATATATTCTTGATCTAGTAATAAGTGTATGACCAGAAAAATCTTGGAATTTTAATTCCATCTTCACTTTCTGTTTCTTTTCCTTTAATCAATCAGCCTTCAGCAACTTCTAAGGAGAATTGTGCATGCCTTTCAAGCAACTCTAAGCCCCCTTAAAAATTAGCATCTAAACAAGTCTAAAATGTGTGGTACTTTGGGTGATATTTGTTGCCAAAAGGGGGCTGGGGGAGCAGGGAGTGGGTAAGAGTAAAACTGAGACCCGCTGAAATCAGTGGAAGTTTTGCTGTTGACTGTACGGATAGCAGAATGGTATTCCATGTGTTTGCACCTGGAGATCAGAGTAAAACTCTTTTAAGTCCACGGGGCTCAAAGCTTATGTACCACAGTGAAGCAGAGCTGTGGAATTCTATAATTGTTTAATAGGCTGTCCCTTGAGGATATGGCAATGAGGGATACTTGCATGTAGATTACCATGAGAAAAAATGCATATTTTTTAGAGTAAAATACTTAGATGTACAAAAATACCGAAAATATGTGAACATAGTGTCACTCTCTTTTGGCATTTAATTTCTAGTAATGTTTTGTTTTGTTTTGTGTGTGTGTGTGCGCGCGTGCGCACGCGTAAATATTTCATCACAAAATCATGGTTTCCAAAATATTAAATGGATGTTTATATCTTTTTAAAATATGGAGGTCAGGGAGGGCTATTTCTCACAGATGGATTTTGTTTTTAAATAAAAATTAATTGACTGTGCATCTGTGCATATATTAATTTGAATAAGGTGTGACAAAGGGCTAATTACATGTGTCTAAGTAGGGGCATTTTGTGATAATCATGCTTTGCATAGACAGTGGCAAATCTAATAGTCAGTAGATATCCTTCGTAAACTTAATGCATACATTCCTAGAGGTGTAATGCTAAAATCCACAATTTTATAACAGATAATTCAGGAACTTCACATTTTCCCGAGACAAATTATTGTTTTGTTTTGTATTTTAAAGACCAAACCAGAGTCAGAAGAAAAAGAAGACCTGCTGGCTGAACTTCAAAAGCAAAAAGATGTACTGCTTTCATTATTTGATGAAAAGCGCCATGAACATCTTCTTAGTAAAGGCAGGTTACATTTGAGTCTATAAAAAAATACAGTTTAATAAAAATAACCAGACTCTTGCTGAAAACTAATTTAAGGTTATATACAAAAATAAATAGGTTCAAAAGATTTTGATTTTTTCTATCCTCATTTATCATGATAGGGGGGTTTCTAGGTAATGGTAGAATTCAGGGCACAGTCGCTATGGAAGAAAGAATTCTGGGAGTGAAAGATGACAACGTATACTTGTTTTTCTTTCTAGCATATTTATTTTTGCATTTCTAATGTATGGGGAGCTGTGCAGCTTTGTTCATAGAGTGCCTGGTTATGGAATGGAAGGACCTGGGTTTGATCTCAGGTGAGGGTGGTGGGCTTCCACTTATCATTTCCACTTCCAGTGTGCCCTACACAGCCTCTTATCCAAAGGGCACCAAGAGCTACCTGGGGGTAAACGCAGGTAGAGTATGATGCTGACTTCATCACCTTCTTTTCGTGCCATTAAAAATGAAACAATGGAGCATTGCCTCTGCTACTTCAGTGGGCTTCACTGGATTGTAAACAGGACACGTTTAACTTTATTTCTCATATACTGGAATTTCCCAGGAAAATTAACATTAAAAAAATGTATATCTTTGCAGGAGAAAGAAGACTGTCATACAAAGCACTGAAGGGAGCTTTAATGATTTACTTCTACAGGTAATTCCAAGTGATATTCCTTCAATGCTTATCGGGGTAATGCTCATAAATGTATACATAACATGAAGATGGAGTACGAAAGGGTAGATAATGTATTATAGACTGCAGATTGTGTATACAAACAATGTGGAATCAGTTTACTGCAGTTAGTTTTTTGGGAAATTACTCTAGGCCCTGGGCAGAGGCACTGTTTGAAGCACTCTGATGAGTGAATATATCAACATTTATGGCTGAGGTGCTTCAAAAATGATCCTCAGGCCCCCTCACCATGTTACAAGTATTGCACAATTACTTGGTTAATTGTTCAATTACCTGGAGACTACCTACATGTGCAAAGTAGCTATCATATTATAAAAAGCTCCAAGCAGTGATAAATTTAGACCTCAAACATGTGTACTAACTTTACAGCTGATTGCTCTCAAGCTTTAATTTGCATGTGTACCAGTTTTCCCTGTGCCTGGGAGCCCTGTCAGCTGACTGAGTTCCTAGCCATAGCGGTGCACCATGCCCAACATAAAACCACTAAACCCTAGGGATTGTGGCAGCCAGTCCACAGGGGTTGGGGGTTTTACGCGCCCCAGAGCCCTGGGGATCATAGCTGCCATGATCCCCAGGGTCCAGGAGTTTCCACCCTTAAACTCCAGAGGTTTCCGCACACTCCTGGGAGTGTGTGTGTGTGTGGGGTGGGGGGAATCACTCCTGTGGTAACCAACTGGGCTGCATGGGGCTCCCAGCCAGAGAAGCTTGCTTCTTCCTAGTGCAGGAGTCCAGGATCAGCCTCCCTCTGCATCAACAGTAAGGCAGAATGGGATCTAATGTGTGATCCCAGTCACGCCTCCTGCAATGCACATGTGGTATGGCAGGAAGCATGACTGTGTGAATCACGGATCAGATCCCATTGCACCTTTGCCTGCACGTGTAGAGGGGACCTTAGAAAATGAAGAATATCCTTGAAGCATTTCTTTTTGAAATATTTCCTGAAACATATGTATGCTCTAGCAGAGTGTTTCATAGTTGGTAGGGTTGGAAGGGACCTGAGCAGATGATCAAGTCTGACCCCCTGCCATGGCAGGAAAGAGCACTGGGGTCAAACGACCCCGGCAAGGTGTTCATTCAGCCTCCTCTTAAAGACCCCCAGGGTAGGAGCCAGCACCACTTATCTTGGAAGTTGGTTCCAGATCCTAGCCGCCCTGACAGTGAAATAGCGCCTCCTGATTTCTAGTCTGAGTCTACCCTCTGCCAGCTTGTGACCATTATTTCTAGTCACTCCTGGTAGTGCTCGGGGGAGCAGGGACTTCCCCAATGCCTGCTGGTCCCCTCTGACTACTTTGCAAATGGCCACTAGTTCCCCCCTCAGCCTTCACTTGTGGAGGCTGAACAGGTTCAGGTCCCATAGCCTCTCCTCGTAGGGTCTGCCCTGCTGTCCCCTGATCATGCGGGTGGCCCTCCTCTTGACCCTCTCCATGTTGTCCACATCCCTCCTGAAGTGCGATGCCCAAAACTGGACCCAGTACTCCAACTGCAGCCTAAGCAATGTCACACAGAGCAGGGGGATCACCTCCTTGGACCTGTTTGAGATCCATCTGTGGATGCATGAAAAGGTACGGTTGACCTTCCTGACTGCGTCCCCATACTGTTGGCCCATGTTCATTTTGGCATCAATAACGACTCCAAGATCCTTTTCTGCCTCTGCACTGATGAGAAGGGAGTTCCCCAGCCTGTAGGTATGCTGCTGGTTCTTCCCCCCCAAGTGCAGTGTGGCAAGGGTTGTTCAGCCCTCCAGCTTTCTACAGTGCTCTGCTCCCCACTGTACCCCACCGTGGAAAGGAGCAGGGGAGAGCAGGGAAGACTGGGGGGTGACTGTTTTCCTTGCAGTCGGCTATCCTTGAGAATACCTGTAGGTTCTGGAAGCCAACAGGCAGGCAGGAGTTCCTGCTCTCCAGCTGTCTTGGGGAACAGAGCATGCTGGGATGCCACAGGAGGAAGCAATCCCATCATGCCTGCTGACCAAAAAACACCACCACTATATGTTGTCACAATGATTTTGAAGCACTCCAGCATGGGAAAGTTGTATGTTCATATGCTATTGAAATGATCTAAATAGTTGGAGCTCTAACTAGAGTGGAATTTGGACTGCTTCAAATGCAAGACTGTTTTAGGAATATATACTGTAGTTTGGTACTTTAGGTTTTTTAATAGCATATTGTTACAAACATGAAACAGAATGCAACCAACATGTTGAGAAGGTGAAAGAACCTATTGGAATACCTGCTTCCACAAATTTAGGAAAAATACACACAAGTACGTACCTTGCACACTTAGACAAATATAGCATTATAAAACAATAACTGGTAAGTTAGAATAATTTAAGATAAGTGATTTTCTGATGTCTTCACTTTTACTTTTTCAAGAGAGGAGCCTCGCTTCCAGGTTCCCTTTCAACTTCTAACTTCTCTTATGGATATGGATATACTCATGACAAAGTGGAGATGTAAGTTTTCAGACCTTTATTATCACAGAGTCTCTTACAGGAACATAAGAAAATGTCCCTCTTTTTTCCAACTTTATCAACATTTTTTTTCCTACATGAAATTCTAAAGATCTCTCTCTTTTATTATGAAGGCAACTTTTTTTTGGCTAAAAACAGTGTCTCACCTCCTTAATATCTGGTATGTAAATACGTAAGGGCTATCACCTACCATAGTTTAAACAGAAGACTTCCATGATGTGCCTGAGGTTTGGTCAACATTTGTATCTAAAGGACTACTATGTGGGCACATCTACATGCATCTATTAATGTGATGCAATAAATTCTGGCACTTATCAGGATGCTGCATTTACACATGCAGCGGGGACCACAGCATGCTGAGCCAGATCAGAGAAGCCCTGGCTGGCAGAAGGCCCAGGGGAATCAGCCTGCCAGCCTGGGGCTGCTCTAACCCAGCTCGGACTGCTGCAACAGGACTGGCTGGGGCACAAGGGTGCTTCACTGTGGGGCTACCCAGCAAGCATCTCCCACACTGAAGTACCCTGGTGCTGCAACCAGCAGCATCAGTGTCTACATATGCGGTGCTGCCAGGTAAAAAAATTCTGCAGCAAGATAGTACTTGTATCTACAAATACTACCCTGCTATGGAGTTTATTAGTTTTCTGCAACCTAATACTGGACATTTACTGTTGAACTAACTAGGCTACTCTGCAGTAAATGTCTTGTGTAGATGCACCCTGTGTTCCCCATTTCTCATGACTATTCTCAACTCTTTTCTGCCCTTGTGTAGATGACAGATTTTAACAGGATTCAATTCATGATATGGCTGCCAAAAATACCACTCAGCCAGTATGCAACATACTATAGGGCTCCTATCTTCCTGCAGACCTACTGGGTCAGCCTCTCTGTGAAATCTCAGGAAGATGTTCCTAAGATGTCTCTGAGTCCTTCACATGAAATTATGCTAGGATGCATTCCACTGACTGACCAGATTTAATGAGTGTTTGAACTATCAGCACTGTTTAGTTTACTGAGACGCATGCTATTTGGTTTAATTTGCCTAGATAACCATGTCTGCATGGTGCACAGAATGATTGGCAGCAAAGCTGGTACAGGGGGATCATCAGGCTACCAGTATTTGCGTTCAACAGTGAGGTAAGAACAGAGAAATCTGACTTACTTTTCACCTTGCCCTTGCCCTTCACCATCATAATCAGGGATCCTGATTTTCTGTTTAAAAATTGCAAATTCTCTGATTAACCCCCCCCCCCCCAAATCTGTGTTTTTTCACAATTAAAATAAAATGCGACTATATATATATATATATATATATGTATCAGTTGAACACAAGGTTTTATTGATATATTTACAATTTTAAAGCAATTTGGAAGCCTACCACTGCTTTAGTCATTATAAGAACATACCTTCTAAATACCTATATATTTTTGTGGTTGATTTGGAGTTTTTTATCATGGAAATTCAGAGCTTCCCCTACCCGCTTCACTCACCAGGACGTGGGTCCAGCTGTCGTTGTTCCACCCCACTGCTTTGTTGGTGCAGTGATATGTTGGTGCCCTGCCCCAGGCCATGCCCCCACTCCCAAGCCACAGCCCCCCAGCCCTGCCAGTGCCCCTCACTCCTGACCCACAATCCCTGGGCCCTGCTGCTGCCCCTCACTCCCGACTTGCAGTCCCCCAGCCCTGTTGGTGCCTCTCACTCCATACCCACAGGCCCCCAGCCCTGCTGGTGCTTCTCATTCTTGGTCCACAGCCCCCGCTAGTCCTGCTGCCCCATTCCCAACCCCCAGTGTATGAGGAAGGGAGTGGGTGTGTGTCAAGGCAGTGGAGGGGGACCCACAGGTGATGCAGTGGGGGTGGGGGGCATGTGCCTCCCACCAAGATTTCTGTGCCCCCAGTGGGGTGCTAGCTGCAGCCAGGCCGGAGCAAGGAGCTGGTGCTGGAGAGAGTGTCTCACTTCCATGTTGTGGCATATAGACAGGGGCAGCAGCAGTGATGGCAGAGTGGAGTTGTACCCCCATTGCTGCTGGGTGTGCATACAATGCCTTCCCTTGGCAGCCATGGTGGCATGGTGTAGCACTCCCTTCCGCATCAGATCCTGCACACTGGGCCATGGAGACAACTCCTCCAGAGCTGGTCCAGCCCCACTGCAACCCTGCGCCTTGCTGTGGGCACAGAAATTTTAGGGGGTATGTGCCCTTGCCACCCCCCTGCCCATGTAGCCTCTTCCCTCCTACCCCGCGTGGCCTGTGCCCCTTCCCCCAACCCCCCTGACCATCCCTCACCCCCATAGACTTACCTGAAGCAAGCTGCTTTCCAGTGCTGCCCAGCCACCACATGCATGTGTGAGTGCACATGCATGTGGCACCCCCTGCCTGTTTGCCCTTCTACCACTCCTTGCAGCCTGGAACTCTGCCAGCCTACAAGGGGAGCCCACAGTTTCCTGCATTTTTCTCTTTTAAAGGGGGAAATCTGTGATTTTTCTCCTTTAAAAAAGAAAATCCATGCTTTTCTGCAGTGAACAGAAAACCTGGATCCCCGATCATAATTGATATACCTCATGCAGGTTTTGTGGTGAGCAAATGTCCAAACTGTTTAACAATGACTAGGTAGCTAGTATGTTATTACCTCTACTTTAGTAAACTAATCAGATCGTTACCTTGTCCTCTTCCTGACTTTATATTTTATTTTGTCCACTATTCTTCTCGTATTTCTCTCAAGATAGGTAGATTCTAAGATGGTTGGGGACAACAGTTTTTCTCTATCAGCATGTTGTACAAGGGGTCTGCTGCCCCAGAAGGTCTTTAGAAACCACTAAAATAGAAATGAATAAATAATCATTCTTTTGCACCATGTACAATCCTTCAACTTTAATCAGATTACCTAAACTGGAGACATTGTGTTCTCTGCTATTGGCAGAGTACTAGAGATGGCTGGAGTAAAATGCCCTGTCATTCAGCAGTGCTATTTTGTCCACCCAAATCACTGCAGGAGTGTAGCTATCCTGTTTCTGGTTTCAGAATAAGATATTATGTAATAAGTGATTTTCAAACTACCTGGATATTAGCAACTGTCCCAATATTAGTTCAGCTCCCTGCAATGATATCTAAGATACAAGTCATCATTAATTTTATAAAACAAACAGAACCTGGGTTGGTAGGGGTTTTAATTTGGTGTCTGAATACAGTAATATCTTGAACTAATAAAGCTCTACAAAATGTTTTAAAACTTCAGTCAACTGAAACAATTTTAAGTCTGTGTAGACTACGAATAAAAGCAAGAGCACAAGTGGTGTTGACTAGCAATCAAGCAGTTTTTTGCTGAGTGTTTTGTGCTTTGCAGCTCAAAACTAAAAAATATCAGGGTACAAGAGCCCATATTGTAATTAAATAAAAGTAACCTTTTGCATTCAGTTTGTTTGAGCTGCCATGCTCAATGAAAAACACCTGAAAACATTACTAATGGACATTTCCATTAGAATATTATGGGGCAATGCTGACACAGTATACCCCTCAAACACTAGGGAGGTCTTCTGGTTAGGTTCCCATAATTAGGCTGTGTATGGGTTGAGTAGTGGCTCCTCTAAGCCAACATAACAATATTAATGCATTTGATTTTATTTTTCAGTGACAGGTACAAAGTGTTTGTGGATCTGTTCAACCTTTCAACATTTTTGGTGCCAAGACACTGGATACCAAAGATGAACCCAACCATTCATAAATTCCTTTACACAGCAGAGTATTGTGACAGCTCTTACTTTAGCAGTGATGATTCAGATTAAAAACAACTCTACCCAAGTGATCCACTTTGAACTGTAATGTGACCTGATTCTGACTCTCCATGATGTCCTTTGAAATATAATAAATATTATAAGGCATGTATATATATTTATAAACAGCAGGCTAAAAGCATTTTAAGAATGTGATGAAATTCTAGATACATTATGAATAATGTGATTTACAGGTATTGCAAACTAAATGTTTACGTTCTTTTTAAAATAGTGCAAAAATAGAGAGAGAAGGCAGTTGAAACGAACAGAATATACAGAGATTAAAATGTCACTTTAAGTTAAAAACACAGGAAGTGCGTCTACACAAGATAGTTTAGTGCGCAGTAAAGTGTATTTACTTGGTTCATATTTATAGCTGCATTTCTATTAGCTTGTGTAATGGAAGTGGACTAATCACTTTCCATTCTTTTAGCTTATTTCTAGTCAACTGCTGTCAAGTCCTTAAGCATAGTGTTGCTAGGGGATACTTATTTACTTTAAAATTGTCCCTACTTGGAATATTTTTTTAAATGTTATTTTTACTGGGCATAGGTTTTTTAGAAGGTAACTTTAGAAAAATCCAAAGACAGAGCCAGCCAAATTGAACCTGATAATTTCCCTGAATATTTTATCTGAGAAGGGGAAAAATATTTTGGAATCCTGTGTGCCTTAGCAACACATACAAATGTAATTATAAAAAAGTAACATCTTTTTAGACAGAACTATCTACTAGTCTGTTATACTTGATCTTTGTAACCTATAAACAAAGCACTTCATTTTCTACTTCAAATAAAACAGGTGTTAAAAATTAACGCTCTTTACTCCTTATTGTTATTTCCCTTACTCAAATGAAGTTAGTGATAGTAAACCATACCAGAATAAAGGCACTTAGAAATCTTTTGTTTACAACAGTGGTGCAGCAAAAGTGGTAGTAACACGAAGTTTTATCATGTTATCCTGACAATTTGCCTCAGTTGAGACCTTAATGCATTACCTCAAAGGAAACGGAAATCCTGAGTATTCATTTTTATTCACATGTTTGTCCTTGGAACACTGGAAGTTGAGAACTTGAGGTATAAATTATTAGGGGAGTGTTCTTCAAAAACGTTTACCTTGTTCACTTACTAATCTGAGATTATCAGGAGGGATGAGATGGCAACAACTTGTAAATGTAACACCACACAAGTAATATCATTTTCCTACAGTAGAATCAAGCGCATATTAACATCATTTATCTAGCCTCAGATAACACCTATGTTCATATTACGTTTTCAATATGTAACAAGTGCTACTGGTTAATTGTTGTGATCAGGAAAGCATATTCTCCACAACTAGCAAAAAAATCTGTTATAAGAAAAGGGCTTCACTAAAAGATGATGCAAAAATATTTCGAGTGGAGGCATCGGATTTCGTTCTGTGCTACCTGGAAATCTAAGGCACCGTAATAAAAAAGACACGGGGTTCAAGTATAAATATTCCAATTCTTTATTTTTGAAAGAACATCATTAAAACAAACAAAGATTTTTAACACCCAGCATCTTTACTAGAAAATATGTAAAAATGATAAAGTACAAAGTATTGGAGTTTGTAAAACCTCTTCACAGTTCATCTAAAAGATGTATATGTTTTAAAAAAGGAGCATATATAGTCATTTTAAATTATTTTTAAATAACAGAAATTTATGAAAAGCTACAAAGTGGTACTAAAATGCTTTAAAAATCACAAATGGCATTGCTGTCTCTTCTATACACCTCAGATCAGCAAGGGCTAGAAACTGTCCAGTGGTTCTCTCTGACCAACATACGGAGAAGAGCAGATTTAAGTGATTCTTCTACAGGAAACTTATCCAGCTATCTGTGGCTGCTTGGAACATTTTAATGAAAGTGTAGTGATGCTGGAGAACTGACATGAGAAAATGAGCGCCTTCTGCACTGTCCTGCTAATAACTAATTGATGATTAACCCTTAAAAAGGATGGAATGCAGAACTGGGCACCTATTTTAAAACGATGGTTACATGCTGTAAATTTCCCTTTTGCACTTGGCAGAAATGTCAGGGACATAGAAAAAGAAGGCTGAACCAAGGCTGCTCTGCCACACTTCTTCCAAGTGGAGTAGCCTATTTGCAAACTGATGTACAAAATGAGGGTACAGCATGTGCTTTAATATCCGAGATTCCTATAATGCTGTTAATTGGTTATTAGTTCTTGCCTTTCAATCTATGAGATTACCTATTAGGGATTAATTTTGAATGCTCAAAGGTATTGTAGGATCCTCCTAAATAATATTCTCTGCCCTGATGAGGATACATACTACATTTAACAAGACATGACATGAGGATCAAGCAGATTGGAAAGGTTAGAGAGAAGAAAATGGCATTTAGAAGGTTTTATTAGTATTGGGCTTGTTGTCTACCCTCCTGCTCACTTTTTCTGGGTGTTGCGGTAGAAATGAGTATGTGGCTTCAACTCACTTGCTTACATACAAGGACTATAGAAGGCCCTAAGGAAGGACCATACATGCTGAAGGACCAGACCATAATTAAATTGAATTAGGAATGTTACAGAAAGTAGTAAGAGAAATTGGGCTAGCTCACATCAGTGCACGCATCATCTGTTGTCAAAGTTGCAAGAAAAACCAATACAAGCATCAGAATGTATCGGAACAATAGTTGTTTCTTTTTTTTTAAAAACTAAAAGCATGACAATTTTTCCCTGACAGCACCTAAAAATAAAAGGAAAGGGGATAAGGAAAGAGGTATGTCATGTTCTCCCCGACATTAAAGCATTTCCAGATGTATCCTACCATACTGCCAGATTTCTGGATTCAGAATATTCAGTAGATTCTACATTATATCCTGTAATTTTCTCTCTTCATCCTTAACTTCATTCTGAATCAGCTGTGATGTCAACCTTTCTATTACTTGTTGCAAAGAATTTATTGCTGTTCCTGATCTGGGACTGAGATTTACAATGTCCCAATGTCCTTCCATCATGGGTTACCATTTGAAAATACTTAAGAAGATTTGCGTAAAACTCAAATGTCCAAAATGGCCATCATGTATGTCTGTTGTTTCACCTTTCTTCTTCGGAACAAAAGGTGTGCTATATGGCATCCTTATCTCCCAACTTCAGTCTTCCCTAGATTTTAGTAGCATAGAGCCTGGATAATGTAATATTGTCCCCAAACCTGGCTGTGCCATATTTATAATGCCCAGACCATTAACTATAAAATAGTTTGCAATTTTTTTGAAGTTAAAAAAATCTTCACACTGAACAGCTGGAAAGCGATAATCCAAGGAACTGCCGTCGTACCATTTTATTCTGGTTAGTGCGCGTCAAACAAATACAGATGCGACTGTATCTGCAATACCTAGAATAGTAAAGCAATTGTTAAATGAATACTGAGAACATAATTACTCTGAACTAAACTTGCTGTCTAGAAGAACCAACTGAAAATTAACTCCTACAAGTCCTCTCTCCCTAAGACATGATTCAATTAATTAAATACAAGGAAAAATAAAAGTGAATAAAAGTGTTTGCTCTTTACAATTTAACATTATTTGGTCACAATTAAGGTTCCTCCTTACCCAGCCCACTTTCTCCTTTGTTTTCATGTTATAGGTCTTGGGTCCTTTACTTGAAGGATTTAAGGTAGCAGTGGAGGACTTAAAATCTTGTTTTAGAGCAGGGGTATCAAACTCATTTTAGGCACGGGGCTCCTTTTGGGCCAGATGTGGCCTGAGGCAGTGATGGCAGCAGCACCTGCAATCACCATGGCAGTGGTGGCTACTGTGGTAGCAGTAGGACAGGCAGCCGCTTGCTATCATGCCCGCATGTAATCAGTAGAAGGCCAGGCAGCCCACAGGATGACCAAGCCCTGTGTTGCACAACTTCCACTTCCCTCCTTGCTGCCAAGGACTGTGTCCACCAGGACCCTGGATTCTGCAACAGGCTCTGCCCACTGCTGGCCATACCCTCAAATTCCCTGGCCCACCCATAACCCAACTGGGCCAAATGAAGTGGTTCTGTGGGCTGGATCCAACCCAAGGGCTGTATATGTGTCAACCCTGTTTTAGAGAATTCAGAAATTGAAAATGGAGCTGTAGTTTTCCTAGGCTATACTTCAAAATACTCTTTCTTTTTAATTAAGAGAAATCAAGAGCTGAGTTTCAGCATTTGGATGTTTTGCCATGTCCTTGGTCCTCTACAGATACCCCGACCCTGTCTTCTAAGGAAAAGGTCACGGATAGGCAATGTGTGTGACATTGTTCTTGGCACACAGAAAGCTTGATGGACTGAACCCTTAAATAATAGATTCCATGAGGCAGGGGCTCCATCTATTCTGCACAATGCTGAACATGGAGATAAAACTGGAATGATAAGGTTCTAGGTGCCCATGTTATTCAAGGGTGTAGTTGGTAGCTATATTGGTCTGAGACAAAAAGACACATAAAACTAGAACTAGACACATGAAAAACTAGAACGCTTGGTTCCAAAATGATACCTTTTATTAGACCAACTGGAAAATGAAAACAAAATTATCCTTTTCTGCTATTTGTTTTTATATTCTGAAATTCCCTAACATGTCTTCCAAGTCATTGTCCATATACAGAAATGCCTTGAGCCTTTACTGCTCAAACTAACTAGTTAAGTTTGTACGTTTGACTTACCACAGATGTTACCACCGATTTTAATACGGGCATAACCGTCTATTCCCCATGTACGTCCCCAGGAGTTCCGTACAATCCAGTAAGGAATGATACCTGTTAAAAAAAGACTTTTATAAATAGTTATAGGAAACAGTAAATTTGGCAATCCTAAAAAACTCTGAGCAGTGAGACAATATACAAGTCATTTTCATGTTTCAGTTTCTACTGATCAGACATAACAGCATTGTGAAATCTGTGATTAGCAACGGAGACCATAGGAAGATGAAATATGGCTACTACAGTATGACTTTGTATTCTCATATGACTAATCTGCCTGCGCTCTACTGAACAATATCATATACTAACGTAACAGAATTTGAGGGCACTATGTGTTTACTGTAATTGAAATGTTGTGAATGAAGTTCCACAGGACATACAATCCCAAAATGTAACAGTTTGTGTTTGGCTTCAGGTAGCTTAAATGTTTCAGTTTATAATCACCTCTTTCACAAAAGGTAAATTTCCAGGAAAACAATAAATATAAAAAGAACAGATTTGTGACTTTAACTACTGATAGAACTTACCTGTTCTATCAAAACCAGTGACAAGAACAGCATGATTTGCTTTTCCACTGGAACAGTGATACTGTATGATCCCACCCAGATAATCCTGCCAGCTAATTGCATCTACAGTCACTGCCAAAGGACCCCAGTGAACCAGCTTCCTCATCATTTCGTCTTCCTGGCCACTACAAGAAAAATGACAATGATCCAAAATTGTTAGAATGCAGCGCCTCAAAGCAAAGTTTAAGTCATAGTGAATCATGTACAACATAATAATTAAACAAACAAGCTGTTTCCTGTGAAACAAACATCATAGGATTGTGTTGATATGAAAACAAGGTATACAAAGCTACAAGTCAAATAATCTCCTGCTCTTAATGAAATGGTAACAATGTGGATTTTGGATCCAGTTGTTGATGACCAGCAGGTAATATGTTCATAGTCTACACCTTCCACTTAGTTAAAATGTCAGTTTAGACAACTCATTATTCTATCATTAGTACATTTTCCTATTTACATTTTGTCTTGTTAAAATTCTTATTTGAAGTGTTCTATATATATATATACACACTGTCCAAACAAAAGAAATTATATCATGTGATTAATACTGCATTCGCTGTTTCATCTCTGAGTATGTTTCATTTAGGTATTATTGAAATGATAATGCTATCTACTTATTTTTAGTTATCTGTATCGTGCTTTTCTCCCACTAGTAGAATTGTTTTGCTTAGGGGGTTCTCAGTGTGAATTTTCTTTGTACTGATAAAAATGAGGAAGACAATTTTATATAAAAATTAAAAAAAAATTCTTTACAAATTTTCAGATGATTGCATTCTTTGTTCAAGTCTCATAGTGGCTTTTGAAACGTGCATGCAGTATAAAAGAATACAAACAGATATGTACTGAAGTAATCATAAATGTTTGACTTTTTTAGCTAATTCTGCTATTAATTATCATAACTGGCTTAATACTAAGAAAGTACATACACAAGATGGAAATTATACAGATTCAAAGATCCAGGATGTTTATTTTATGGTTTCAGGAAGCCTGAATAGCTTCAGTGACTTGCAACATTATTATCACTTGTGCATTTCTACTTACTAGAATATAACCTACATTAAAGAGAGAGCTTAAATTGATGAAGAAACGTATTTTTGCAGGTTTAGTACAATTTTTCTAAAAAGAGAGACACTTTCTGAAAGTGTATGCTTGAAGAGAAAATAGTTTTAATGATGAGTAAACTTCACAGTGTCTTAAATTGAACTGGCTATTTGTTTGTTTTTGGGGGGGGAGGGATGGCGTTAAAAAACGGAAATCTAACAAAGTATTTTCTGGCAAGCCTTAGAGCATATTTTATGGCTTCAATAAAGTTATCTGCTTCAGTATGAAGTGAGTTTGCTTCAATATTATTAGTATTATTTTTCTTAAATTAACTTTTGGGGATAATATTGTACAATAGATAACAATAAACAAAAATGTTATCAGGGAACGTCGTGCTCTGCATTCTGTCAGAACAAACTTCTTAACCTTGTACGCATTTGTTTGGCTCTAAAGAACAGTTCTCCAAAGAAGAAGAATGCATTATTATTTCTTCTTGCCTTTTTTGTATTGTTTAAACCCCTGTTTAGCCTTAGCAAAACCCTGACATTATAATTCTGATAAGATATAGTGTAAGTAAACATACAAGTGCACTTACACAGTCTTTTGATACCACGAAACAAATCTACCTACCTCAAAAACAGGTTAGGAAAAGCCTCCCACAGATACTATGTATGCCCTGATATTTTATGACAGAAATGAAACCTACTTCCAGTGAGGTTGTAGCTTACTTTAACAGAGGTCATAACTCAGAAATTGATACAACTATTTCATAATTGTGTTCATATCAGTTACTGTGCCTTTTTTTGTAACTGAGAGGAGATAAAGGTCCCAGCAAGACAAAAATTCCACAACCATATTTCAGTAAAGTTCGTTTGGTAAATTTATGACCTTAGCAGGTAAGAACACCCTTCAGGAAATTTTTCTTCTTTTGACATATGAATTGTAATTCTCACTGGGGAAGTTAGGAAAAAAGATACTGGGGATACTTGAAAAAACTCAACTGGTTATGGTTTATAATAATACCTGCAAATACATATTTCTATGACTATCTAAAGTTGTCTTTTGTAAAATCCAAATGTTTTGCCAATTTGTTCGATATCAATTTATTTGATTGTAGCTACAGATTGGGCTAATACTCTGATATGAATCTTAGAGGACCTCTGTCCAAACAGAGATTGAAGAATAAAAATTAAATGAAAACATATCCAAGTCATGTGACATGAAAGTTTTGATACACTGAAATAATAGATCAACGATGTTCATTAAAAGTTTTGTTCATGAGAGAAAGTATTAATATAAATTTTTGTTCTGCTCATGTGTCAGACCTTCTGGTCAGTAAAAAGGAGATATGTTTTTCATATATATATATATGAAAAACAGTGTTGATCTGGTTAAAAGGACACTGAACTAGACTTCAGAAAATACAGATCTGTTTGTTGGTTTGTTGTATAGCCTTAGCAAGCTAGTTCAAATCTCTGTACCACACCCTTCCTATATTAAAAAAATGAAGATAAATAATTTTCTCACTTTTGTAAAACACTGAGATCTGTGGACCAAGAGTGTAATGACAGCCGACTTACGGGTATTGCTTATATTTTCATTTAGATAGTATATTGTTGATACAGAAAACCACATCTCTGTAATTATGACTTTTATCCAGAATGACCTCTAAGTGTGCTACAAACAATAGCCTATTATTATTATATTATGATTATATGTTTTATGATAAGATTGGGGTGTACTGTGCCAGGTATTCTACAATAATACAATATGGGCAGTCCCTGTCTTTAGGAGAGATTTATAATCAAAATCTGCAATAAGATTTAATAACTGAATTTAAGCAAATAACAGAACAGAGAAGAGGGAGGAAGACAAAGGTAAGATAATCCAGCTCTAGTACAATACAGCTAATACACAACTTGAATTCTGATTCGATTAGCTTTTCTTTATATGTTCAACTAAGATGTCCAACTATGATTATTTCTACTTTTTCAGTTTTAAATGCATACCTTTGAAAATCTTCCTTACTGCCTAAAAAGATGAAAACAAGTGCATATACACCCCTGTGCTCTGCATCGCTGAAAGAAACAACTTGTAGAAAGTTAGGTCAAAACTAAGAAAAATGCCATCGAACGAGAGCAATTTGCCTAAAAGGCATGGTGGACCCAACCGACTGTTCTCTGCTTCTTGCCATGCACAAGAGTTCCACAGAAAAGACAGTAAAGTATAGCTAGAGACCATTAACAGGACCATTACTTAGCATATAACCTGTCTCTGTAGAGTTGCTATTACTGGAAAGCATATTTTCTGTCAAGTCTGCTATAAAAAAATGAAAACCTAGTTCTGAGACATACTGAGCACCCTCAAGACACACTCACTTTAGTGGGAATTGAGATCATCAGCTATGTTGCAGGAAGCACTCAGAACATTGTAGAACCATGTCCTAATTTTTTTATTTATGGCTTAAGCCCTTAGCACTGATTGGATAAAACAGTTTAATACGGCACAGCTGTGGATAGATGCATAGTTTGTACTGCAAAACACAGAACAGTCTAACCTGAGATTTTGATCTCTGGAAGCATCTCTGTAAAGACATCTCCCAAGATGGAAACAATGATTGCAGACTGAAACCCTGATTTTTTTTAAATGGCCTGATTTCCTAACAGGTTTATTATATGTTATTAAACTTTAAAGGAGTAGAAGACTGTCTAGCCTGCAGTACTGCAGGGAAGCATGTGGTTGTTAAAGTACCAAGTATGAGCTAGAAAGATGTGAACACATTTGAAAAAGTCCAAAGGACAGTGACAAATGTTACTAGAAGTCTTGAAAGTATGTCATGTGAGGAAAGGTTGGAAGGAAAAAGTGGGATTTTTCACTTTAAAGAAAAGAAAGGGGATTTAATAACAGTTTTCAAGTAAAAACAGGTTTGTAATTGATTGTCCTTTGGCAATCAATTACTCTTTGCTTCCTAGGGAGAGGACACAAAATCATGGGAATAAATTGCAAAAAGTAAAATTTTTGTTAAGATATTAGACAGAACATTCTAACTATACGTGTTGATACGCACAGGTAGAGAGTATGTCCAGAGGTTGTAGGATCTTTGTCACTGGAAAATTTTAAAAGTTGGTTAGACAAACATTTGTCTGGGGTGGTTTAAACAGTGATGATAGTGTTCTGAACATGGGGTTAGACTAGATGACCTTCAGAGGTCCCTTCCAGCTCTTGTTTGCTATGATACTATAAAATCATAGAACAAGGGCCAGCAACCTGTTATACACTGTGTGTCAGAACAATCCGGCTCCAATCTGATGCAGGCTAGATGTCTTCCATGGTGCCTCAGCTGTGTGGGACCTTACCCTGTGCCAGAGCCAGGCAGCTGGGAGATGCACCAGGGTGGGGCATCTGTAAACTGTGTCCAGATGTGGGGGATTGCCAATTCTGTCATCAGAATTTAAACTTTCATTAAAAAAAGATAAAATGATAAAGTGTATGGAGGCATGGATGATTTTGCAGTATCAGTAGAATGTAAGGCAATGCACAGTGCTCTGTGTGCTACTCATAGCTTTGCCAAGCATTTTTGGAAGACAGGGTGTGGTGGACGTTCCAACTGCTGAGACAGCCACTGTCCAAACATTTGAGACTGATGGACTTTCCATCATTTGGCCAGCAAGACATACTTTGTCCTTTTACTGTCTGAAAATGATTACTGAGTTATGACTCCATTGTAATTAAAGCGGCTTCTGCACCAGGTAACCAGAACTTGGCTAGGTTTAATTTGGTTAGTAGATGTAAAACAGCAGTGAAGGTATAGCATTGGAATTTGAATTATTTAAAAGACAAATATCTAAATATCTATTTTGCAAAAAGATTAAAATATAGCTGCATCAATTAGTATGTAACCTTTGACTGGCATGTACATTTACTCTGGCTTCACTGCATAGCCAGTGAACACAAAAATAAAGTATAGCAAACAAAAAGAATCAATAGTAGTTACCTGAAGTCATATGCAGCATATCCCGTTATTGAAACTCCAAAATCTGAGAGACAGAAATAATGGCACAATCCTGTTTGACCTTTAAAACTATATTCAGAACTTTTCACCAGTTTTACTTGCGTCTGCCAGAAGATAAATTAATGAATGTTTCAAATAGAAGCCAAGCAGATTTATACAAATCAAAGCTGCCTTTGAAACAACACAGAAAACCCACCCAAAAATCAATGCGTTCCAAGTGAGGTTAGAGATAAGAATGCCATGTTTGAAAATGAAGACATTTACACTCTGAAGATTAGCAAAATTGAAGAACGAAAGCCTGAGGAGTGCTTCTGAGCATATACCTCAAGAGTAAGATACAAAGGGCGCAGACAACTGACATTTTTTGAGCAATCTGACCCCTAAAAACCCTCTACAGCTGTGTCATAGCACATGTGCACAGCTGCAGAGCACTTTTAAAATGGCCAAAAATTAACCCTGGTTAAATGAGGTATTACATTAAGGCACTGAAAAGCAGAGGGCTTTGTGGAACTTGTGTTTCCTCCAGGGTTAATTTTTGGCATGGGGGGCGGGCTGTCCCCAGGCTGTCATGGGGAAGGGGGGGGAGCTCGGGGGGAGGAGATGGGGAATATGGCCCCCTCACCTTGCAACCTCCCTGCGGCTGGGGTGTTGGGGGGATCTGGGTCAGGCCCCCAAGGTAAGGAGGCCCTTTCCCCCCACCCCCCCATCTTGATCAGCTCTGGCCATTCAACAGCCAGAACAGAGCTGCCAGCTGCTGAATAGCTAGAACTGGGGTGGGGGGGTGGCGAAGGAGGCAGGGTGGAATGGATCCTCCTCATCTCAAGGGCCTGATCCAGCTCCCCCCAGTATCCCAGCTGGGGTAGCTGCAGGGGCCCCTGTTCCCTGCTTGCGGCATGCAGGCAGCAGATTGCAGCTCTGCCCTGGCTCAACCATGCTGTCACTGCCGCAAGATCCCAGCCTGGCCCCGGAGCAGCTCCCCGCCCTGCCAGTGCTGCTGGAGCAAGTGTCCACAGAAACCCTGGCCTTGGACTATCACAGCACGGCTGCTGTTGGAGTCTCTGTGAAAACCGGCCCCAGCCACGTGGGCAGTGGCTGCTGCAAAATGGAGTCCAGTCATCATCTGGATCCACCATTTTGCCCACCTGTGATGCAACTGGTCTCCTGAGGAATCTCTTGGCTTTGTAGAATCCCAAGTGGCAAAGACTGCATTCACCTACCAGGCCCTTACAGAACCTTAAAGAATCACTAAAGCATTAGGACTAACTTTGTAAAATATTATTATTAAAACAAGTCTGCTTATGAGGCAAATCCACATGCCAGTATCAACCTGAGCCCAGAAGTAGGTGTATACTTGGACAAGATTTCATAGAGCGAAGAATCCTCCCTGCCAGGACATAAGGCTACTATGAGCCATTCACCTCAAGTTACTTCCTGGTAAGGTATGCACGATACAGTCAAGCAGAGGACTAGAGATCTAGGTAGCAGAGTCATTTATGGCCCCATCCACCCCTGGTTCCTATTCTGTCATGCAACAGCTAAGGCAAAATGGGTATATGTGCCCTCTATGTGTCATCTTTTAACAACAAATGTATTCTGTCTTTTGAACTTGGAGCTGCCAAGTTCATGATTTACATCACTTTAATCTTTATTGCTTGAGAACTCTTAAAATAGCAAAAATGAAATCCCCTTGATTCATGAGAAACGTCGAAACATCCTATGGATCTTTTACTAAAGCTCTTAGCTTCACCTGTAAGGGGACACAATCTACTGCTTTTTTTAAAACTTATAAAACACATACTAGAAAAATATTTAAATATCTTACCAATAATGTAATTACTTTTTATTTATATTAATAAATTCACCTTTGAATACTAAATGCGAAAATATTTTAAGGACACTTCATTTCACATTAATGTGACTTTTTCCATATTTTCAGTTCTTTTCAGCTTGAAAGTGAGGGTTTTTGTTCCACAAACTGTAAGGACTTCTTATTTAACTCAAGGCTAATTTTTTCATAAACATAGAGCAGATATTAGGCACCAAAATCCATATTATATTTTTTTAATAAATGGGACCTCTGACACCAGTGCTGATTGCCTGCAGCTTACGTTTTGTTTAAAAAAATCCTAGCAAATTAAAAATGAAGAGGCCCTTGAATACCAGATGCTGCTTTGTTCTGAGCGAGCCTTTGTGGATGAATTTACATGAGTTATGCACTCAATTTTTCTAATTTATATACAAGTTCAAACTCTGTGACTCTGGATACCATATTGGAATTCACTAGTTCCAATAAGTCAAACATATTAGAATCCACATATTTTTCGCACTACTTTTTCTTTTCTATACAAAATACTAGGGCATGTTTTAAAATGGAAAACTAAGAAACAGTTACAAAGTGTAAAATTTTCAGACCTGGTTCAGCCAGTTCAGAGCACTAACTGTGGACCCACCGCTGCAGCCATAATTATTGTAGGAACAGTCAATGACCTGTTGTACACTAAGTTCTTCCAGATTATTCCTCTTGATTGCATAGGCAGACTCTATTCCACCCACGACACTGAAAGCCCAGCAACCTCCACACTGGGGAAAAATCAATATTTGTCATTAGCATTTGTAAATAGAAAAATATTCAAAGACAAATAAGTCATTTAAACAGCGTATTTCTTTTAGTTGTTTTAATATAGCATGTTAGTCAAACAAAAATACAAACAACGGCTAGTGTGGGGGGTTTCTTTGAACTGAGTTTAGTAATTTTAATTGTTTTTTTTCTTATTCCTTAAAGAGTAATGCACTTTTTTGTGTACTTATCTATAGACTCATATTGTACTCCTGATTTGCTACTCTAAAGATTCCCCCAACAAGCACCCTAATTTGTCTGCTATTACTAATACAATGTCTTCACCATGATCTGTTGTTCATATAATATAGGATATTCGCTTAATCTAGATTCTGAATCTTTCATTAGGGGTGGTGTGACAGGGGGGGGCGACTACAAGCTCCGCCCTCAGGCCACTCATATCACTGGCTCACCCCCTGCCTAGGGTAGTCCGCCCTGCTACGCCTTTAATGTTACCATAATGGCTATTAAATGGGGGAGGCTGCCTTAATTGTGGCCCTGGTGTGCTAGGCCAATTACACAGCTCCAAACCCTCCCTACACTGTGTCCCATGCCTCACACATGGCATCCAACTTTCCCATAACTTCACCGGCCCCTTTGCTTGGCCGCACTCAACCTATGACCCAAATCTGGCCTCAAGCCCCACTGTGAGGGCCTTGGCCTCCTGGCCCCTTCTCCAGGCCATTCTCTGCCCCTTACTGGGGCCACTACTCCTCCCCTCATTGGGGCTTTTGGGCCTTCTGCCCCTTGGGTCTCAGGCCCCACTCAGTGGGCCTTGGCCCCTGCCTCAAGCCCCACTCAGTGGACCTGGGCCCTGTGCTTTTCTATCAGAGTGTGCTCCCCTAGACTTTCCCCTCCAAGGGGTACCCACAAGACAGCAGGGGCTTAGGCTTTATAGTGCCCCATCCTTGCCTTTCACTGGGGAGGCACGGGTGTGACATTTCCTGGAGACTGCCCCACCACAGGCAGCCCTACCACACCATCCAACCCCAGCAGGGTGCAGTTTCAGGTGTTCGCCAGGACCACAGGAACCTCCTCCATCCCCACAGTCCCTACCCTGACCTTCAAATGTTCCAGGAGCTGCTCTCCTCAGGCTGTGCAATGCTGCTCCACTGGCTCCCTAGATGTAACTGCTGGCTCCACTCCTAGGGTCTTGCCTTACACCCTGGCTACCCCGCCCACATCCAATCCAGTGGTCCCCTTGCAGTCACTGACTGCCTAATTGGGCCTAACAGCACCTGCCAGCTACTCCACAGCCTGCTTAAACCTTTTATAGTGGCAGGTACAAGTTGTGCTCTGCCACAGGTGGTCTTTCTAAGCTACAAAATTTAGTAACGTTTTGAATGGGACAGATTTTTTTTAATTTAACAACTTGATGTGAATTACCAGATGCTTCTATTTTCCACACTTAAATTAAAACAATTTTGAAAAAAAATGCTGCTTTTTGTTTATATTTTGATAAGCAACAATAAGTTTAAACAAGAACAGCTGTTGGCAAGACAATGTACGGAGAGCAGGGGGGTGTGGGACATAGGGCCAATTATGCTATGCATAGCATAGCCGAAGAAGAGCCAATATTCCTGGGCCGTATTCTCTGCTATGCTTAGGTTACACTAGGATGTAGTACACAGGGAAAGACAACAAGAGTTCTGTTTCTGGCCTTGGATGCATGTTAGAGCAGCCCAGAGAATTCTTCAGCTGGATATTATTCCCCAGGGCAGCGAGGGGCATACCACAAATTAGCCCTGTACCTTCCCTGAATGCCACTCTGATCCCCTTCTTCCACCTGAGTTGCTCCTCTGCTTTCTGCTCCTTGCTCTGTATTCCCTGCCTGATCTCCTCTGCTTTCTGCTCCCTGCCCTATCTACTGCTATCCTGTCTGTCACCTCCTATATCTGCTGCATGTTACTTGTGGCACTATTGCTGAAGGTTGGCCACCTTTGCCCTAAAGGCTACAGACAGAAATTACACACAAACCAGTATAAGTGATTGGAAAATGGTTCAAATCTGTAACAAAACAGAAGTTCAGTGCACATAAACTACTTCCAAAATCACTGAAACCAGTTTAAAATAAACCTGGATGGATGCAGCATAACACTTAACTGATTTAGATTAAATAGGTTTATTGAACTTCTGCCCAGATCCCCTCCAGATTCAAGTTAACTCACAGTTCCCGGTATTACAGGATGCTTTTCACCTCCCCTGCAACTCACCCCACCCCTTGCAGGTGGGTGGGCTAGCCTTGGCCCATGCTGTCTGCTCCAAGTGGCATGCTCTAGCACCCCCCGGTATCTGGCCTGGGCCACTTCAGGTATGTGGCTGCATTTCCAGAACCAAAAGTGAATGTCTGCTCACTTGCTTATTGGTTCAATCTACACAATTTAGACCAGGGACAGGCAATTATTTTGGGCGGAGGGCCACTTACTGAGTTTTGGCAAGCCATTGAGAGCCGCATGACAGGCAGCCAGGGGCAGATAAATATAAATTTTCTAAATTTTTTAGGGGCCCCACGGGCCGGATAGAAAGGCCTGGCAGGCTGCATCCAGTCCATGGACCACATTTTGCCCAGCCCTGGATTAGACTAACCTTTGCAGACTGAACTGATTAAGCCTTGGGCTTTTTGACTATCTGTAGTTAACTAAAGAGTGTGATCATATGGCAATAAGGTAGAAGCAGCTGTGCTCTGGCAACTCTTCTGCTCTGCCATCAATATGTCACTCCCTAATCCTGAGACATTCTAGTAGGATCTCTAAAAAAGGAGATGCAGAATTTGGGTCTTCAGCCACAAGAGACATCAGCTTGCTGATAGAATCTGCAGGAAAGGCTCCACGAGCAGCCTGTGCTTCCTTTCGTGCCATTTAGACAATGCAAATAAATTACAATATACCTCTCCTACAGACTTTGGAAAAATGCAAAATACTTGCGTATTTAAATTTAAGGATGTAAATAGTTTTAGTAAAGACCTGAGGTTCAAAAATGGCACATGTATATATTAAATATATGATGACAAATCTTGAAGATGTTTTAACTGGCCATTATACAGGTAATTTTACTGAATTTTAGTGTACACAGATAATATTCCATTTCTTATATGACTATGAGTTAAAATTAGCACTCATGGAATATTCAGGTTATATAAGGTAACTGGTTTCTGATCATACATTTAACAGGAATGTCTGTTGCCTATATGCTAATAAAATTAAAAGCCTATTATATATTCCAGAACCTCTGTTCTGCTCTAACATCTAGCTATTTGAGCTCTGTCAAATCAATACTTAATGATTACATATAGACGTATTGTATTGTCTCTAATTTGTTTCCAGATGTACTAATGAAAAGTGTTTGGTTTTTTTTTTTTATTTTAGAAGGAAGGCATTCTTAGGGTGATATCTTTTACTGGACCAAATATATAATTGGGGAAAAGTAAGACAAGCTTTTGAATGCAAGACATTCTTCCTCAGGTTTGTTTTTATTTTGAAAGACTTTGTTGTTGCATCTCAGCCACTGTTGGAAAATAACGGTTCCTGGCTAAGTAAAATGCAAAGTTCACAATAAAACAGATCAGAAATTCCACTCCAAACTGAAACAGGAGTCAACATACCAGTTAGGATGGAACAGAAAGTTGTCAACATTTTGGATTTAGAAATATCTATGTTTTGTTCTGATATTTTTGATTAAATTAAAATGAATCAGAATGTTGCTCAGGGGGTCTGCAAAAAGTGACTACAATCAATCATAACTATGTGAATACCCACACTTGCAATCAGAGGGGTCTGCACCTCCACTCAAAAATGTTTAGAGGCCCACAAACAAAAAAAGGTTGAAAACCGTTGCTCTATAGTATGCATAAAATACTGAATAAATAAGCCCAGGAAGGAAGTAATGAAAATCCAGAGCATACCGTGTTTTGATTTTTCACTTCTGTGACAACATTCTTGTCCCTCCAGTCAAACTTTTTCGGTAAAGGTGTCTCCTTTCTCTTTGGCACTTCTGCATATTTGCGAAGTTTGTCTGGTCTGCTTCTTAAGTAAATAGCTAAACATAAACATATATATGAACACGTAAAAATTCTCAATTATTATTGTTGTTATTGCTGTTATTTTAAACAGTTTATAAATACTTATTAAAAAAGCCAGAAAATTGAGGGCTAAGTATGATCAGAACTTATGATTATGAAAAAAGTCTATTATACAGAATTTTAAATCATTTTTTGAATCTTTAAATAAAATTCACACAATCTACCACAACCATTCTATTTTAGAACTATTTTAAAATATTCTGTATTGGTAACAAAAAGGAACATTTGAGTTTGACTTTGAGTGTGGGCTTCTTTATTCTGGTTCTTATCAGGACTAATTAAAAAACATAAAAAATGTTTCATGACATTTGTCATTGTGTTTAAATTTTTTCACAAAATATCATGTTTTATTTGGGTAGACTAGATCGCAGCCAATTTTAATTTCTCCTTTTATTTTGTCACTAAAAAAGGAAATTATGGAATAAAGAAAAAGGAGAGTCTGAAATATTTTTAATCCAAACGTGACTTTCACTGAAAAATAAGAAAAAGGAAATGTAATTAAGATGTTTGTTGTCCATTGTTTTTTTTTGGTGCGCGTGTGTGTGTTGGGGGAGAGGGGGTAGTATTATAAGCTCCAAGACCAGTTCTGGAGCTACTGGCTTGGTTCAGGAGATCAGTGTGTGATAAAACCAGGAAGATTCTGGCAGTAACAACAAGAGTTGGGTGATAGGGCTGTGAGAAACAGCACCGTTGCATTTTGACTTCCATTTCAACGGGACAGCGTTTTGTTTTTAGTTTTGTTTAGTTTTGAAACTGCTGTTCCATTTCGTTTCGTCCTAACTGTTTCACCGACACTGTTTCTTGAGGAAGGGCTTGAGGACCACCAAGATCTGAGGGATGATATCCCATTCAGCCCTGTTAAGGGGGCCACTGATTCCAATCTCCCTGAGCAAGAGCATCTCATGGATGGCTTTCTGTTAGTTCACCAGCCTCTCGAGCATCAGGTACAGTCCTCCCCCAGCCACTCGAGCATCAGGTATGTGGAGTTCCACTGATTTTGTGCTGTGGGATGTTCAGTTCTGCTTGTTTGTCCTGCAGCATCTTGCCCCCCTTGATGCTCCGGTGAAAGTAGCCTGCCACCTTCCTGCATTTGGAAATGAGCTTGCTGGTGGTGCTAGTGCCATCTTTGGCAGCCCTGTCTCCCTCCAAGGCATCTCTGACAATGAGGTGGAATTTGTGTACCACAGCGGATGTCAACAAAGTTGGCATTAGGGATCATGTTGACCATACTGGCCCCATTGTCAGTGACATGAACCCGTGGGTGAGCTATCTGTGCCCAACAAGCCACCCCTGCACCAAATGGTTCATGGCCCCCCATGATCTCTGTTGCTGTGTGGGACTCATCCATCACCTCGGCTTGAAGGAGATGGTGTGATCTCCATCCCGGCTTCTCCGGAAGTCTGAGGTGAAGTGTAAGGCCACCTGTGGACCTGCCCTGTGCAGCTCCTCCCTCAAGTCCTCCCTGCATGCCTCATACAGGGAGGGCACCACCGTCCTGCTGACGGTAGTGCATTTGGGCACT